AGTGGAATATTTTATGTAGCTCTTTATACGTTAAAGTTTCACAGGGAATTATACCCGCTTCATGCTTTCTTTGTTATTATGACACTTCCAATTAAATGAAACAACCATTTACAACTAACAGGAGGTTAATATTTTTACAAGGTGCTTATTCCATCGGAATGTAAGGAAAGGCATAGCAAACGAAGAGTGTGGGCATTAAGGTGTTCTATTACCTGTTGGCTTGCAGTTCAGTCAGTGGTGTGCCTTAACCCAAACTGCAATAGTGCAAAGAAATGTATCTCGTACCATTTGGGTCTGAAACATGACTTTGAAGTCATATAGACATCTTAGTGCAAGTCCATCAACTGGTATACATTAGACAGAGAAGACCTCCAGGTAAAAATTGGAGATGGTTTAATGGATTGGTTATTTTCAGCAAATTTCATTTTAAGCCCTGTTTGAAAGTGCTTTTAATATATCAACTCGTTCAACCATCACAGCTCAATGATATTCATGCCATTACTACTCTATTTTAACAGATTAGAGAACTGAGGCACAGAGAGGTCAAGAACTTAGTCACATGGCTAAGAAATAATTTGCTTATACCATTACATAAAGTCTATAATTATTTGTCATTCACCTACCAGTTTGAGTCATTTGGTAGATTGCAAAAAAGAAAGCTAATTTCAACTATACATTTTGCCAATTAAAAGAACAGAGGATGAAGTAATATAATAAAAGTAGCAGGATTTGAGGTGACTACAACTTTGCTCTGCGGTGTAGGTGCTGAAATTTTGACAGAGAACAGATCTTTTCCTCCTCACGCTCCTTGTTTAAATGTGAAATCCAGTGAGGAGAGCATATAGTTCTGGAAACATAATGAATTCTAAAATATATTGTAAAGAGTTCATAGAATTTGGAATTATAAACCAATTCTAGCCATTTGGCTTTGAGCAAATTACCCAAATTTATTATATGCCTCATTTAATAAAGGGAAATAATAATAATAATATTGTTTCCAAAGTTATTATAAGGATACAGTGAAGAGAATATATGAAATATAATTGGTAAAGGCCAACATAGAAAAGATAATTGTTCATTTCACTCTTATCACAATAGTACTTATGGTTAATAAATACATAATTGAAGTTGATAAATAGATAATTACTGGGGAGGGTTTATTCATGTCAGAACTTAGGGCAGAATCCTCAAATGACTTGATAAGGCTTGCAGATTTAAAACTAGATTGTTCAAGTGACTGAAGAGCTTCTACAGAAAGCAGCCCACGGAGAGCCTTCCAGGTACAGGAGCAAAGCTGTGATTACAGCTGAACTTATTATTTGACCCTACGTTTACTAGTAAAGACAAATGGAAATTCAGTGTGTTAGCTATCATTTGAAATTCAAAAATGCAAAACAAATTTACTTATTTGGATCTTTCAAATGGAGGTATCTTCTGGGTACCATGTTATCTGGATAATAACCATTTTTCTGCAAAACTTATGCCTGAATAAACGAGTACTATTTAAACTAGAAGCATATAATGAGCAAAGAAGATATGTGATTAGCCCTGCAAATGACTACAACCAAGTCTGAAAAACACACACATAAAATAAAAATAGATTGCCTAAATTACCTCAAAATGTGAAAGACCAAAATGAATGAAATATTTTTTTTTTTTCTGTACTACGAGGTACATGCCCAGGACAGCTAAAGAAAAAAAAAAGAGAGAGAAAAAAGAAAGAAAAAAGAGGTAAATGTAAATAATATTGCAATGAGCATAGAGGTGCATATATTCTTTCAAATTAGAGTTTTGGGTTTCTTCGAATATATACCCAAAAGTGGACTCACAGGGTCATAGGAAGTTCCATTTTTAATTTTTTGAGGACACTCCCAGCTATTTATGGTGCCAGGTGGGTACCTGAAATTCCAGGGTTGGGGAGGGCATCTTGTAAAGTAGATGATTATCTAAATATCAGGTTGTCTAAACGAGTGCTGTGGGACCGTTGAAGCTTTAGAACAGATTTATTGCATTAAAGGTCTTAATTTGCATAGCTGGTTCTTATTCAACACCTAGTTACATTTCCCTGCTCTCAGTGCCTGTAAGGCAGTGGTTCTCAACCTTGGCTGCACATTAGAATCACCTGGGAATCTTTTTAAAATCCTGATTTCTGGGCCTCATCCTCCAGAAATTCTGTTTCTTTGTTATGGGGTGGGGCCACAACATTAGTAACAAAGAAACAGAATTTCCGGAGGATGAGGCCCAGAAATCAGGATTTTAAAAAGATTCCCAGGTGATTCTAATGTGCAGCCAAGGTTGAGAACCACTGCTAAGGTTTCTGCCCAGTGGGTTATAACCACTGCTGAAATGACATTTTAAAACCCGGGGATGTAAGTACTGAGTCCATCAGTGCAGTCAAGCATCTTACCTCTTGGTCAATAAGAAGTAACCTAACATATTAAAAGAAGTAGATTTCAATATGTCTGAGGACCATGAAATAGCAGAATTAAATTCGTTTTGTGGAGTGGTTCGGGTACTTGCCTCCTTGGATTGTTGCTCACATTCTTGGTGGTGGTGGCAGTAATGGTGGTAGCAAATGAATAGTGGTGGCAGATGTGCTAGTAGTTATAGCAGCTGTTTCTTGTTAATAGTAGTTGCACCACCTGATTGTTATTTATTTTAATTTTACATAGTAGAAGAATCAAGGATTATAATTATTGCTTTTATATACTAACAAAATCTTTTATATTTTTACTTTGTTCTTTGGGAACAATTTAAGACTTCATCTTTGAAATTTAGGAAATTTTCATTCTGGAAAACTTTTTCCTGATGAAAGAAGCAGCAGTTAATGGTTCCCATGATTTGAAACTGGGTGTACAGAAGGTGGAGAATAACTTTTTGCCAAGTCTGTGTGGGAACATTCAGTGACAAATATATATATGATTTTAGAAACTAACAGTAAGAATGGAGCATCTGAAATCATCGATGGTTGTGCATTTTGCAACCCTTTTTTTAGGAATTGCTGATGCTTTTCTTAGAGTTGTTTTGGAGAATGAATTTGGTATTGATTTAAAATCACCTTACTCCTTGAGTTACTGCATTCTTTACTCTTCAAATCAAGCAAAGTTTCTTCTAATAGTACCTGGAGAACATAGAGTAGAGAAATAACTATCCAGAGCTACTGTCCCTGAAAGAACATTTGCAGAGTTTAATTTAATTTTTTCCATAAACTATCAGACTTTTAGAATTTTTCTGTCCATTTTAATGGTGAGATTACAAAGGCATGTTGGTGAGGATCAGAGAAAAAATAAATCATAGACCTTGAAAAAATAGTTACTCTTCATCTGTATAATGTTAAGGATGTGATATTGGGCTTTGAACTTCAAGTGTGTCTCTGAAAATCTACAGGGAAATAAAGTAAAAGTAATGGCTACATCACTTTATGTAACATCTTTAGTACATTTGAGCTGTGTAAAATTGCAAATGGACAAAATTCTCCTCAAGGCATAGGAAATTTATTTTGAGAGCTATTACTTATCAAATAAGAAACAAGATGCAATCAACAATTAAAATACATGTTAAGACTTTCCTAATTAAAATATGTGTTTAAGGTAAATAGTCAGAATTAAAATATGCCTTTAATAAAAATTAAAAAAGAAGTAAAGGAGACACTGCTAGAAAGACAAATGAATTTCAAAGTCGGTAACTACAGATTTAATTCTCCAATAATTCCAGTTTATAATTTGAAACAATAAAATCACAATATACAATGAAAGCTTTATTTGGATCATGAAGCTAGATGACAAAAGTTTGAACACTTTTAGAAGTTTAAATCCTACCCAATTTTATATATTGTAAATCTTGCTTGTTTTATCAATTATTGTGAAAATTAAAACATGATCTGCAGTAGCCCCAGATATCTAGTTAGCTTATGATTGCCTGAACACTACAACTGCATTTTCACAAATAACTTGCTCTGGATTTTATTTTGTAATAGTGTGTGTGTGTGTGTGTGTGTGTGCGTGTGTTCGCACATGTGTGTGCCCATTTGCATATATGTTCTTAATTGTGCATTCCTTAGCTTAATGTCAAAATGAGTTATCATTTTGAGGAGCTGACTCTCCTTTCAGACCTAAGACTTGGAGGCAAGAAACTAGTACAGAATTAACAATTGGTCATGGCTAATCCACAAAGTAAATAAACCAAGTGTGAATGATTGAAAGTGGATAAGGTTGTAACATCAGAGCTATTGAAATTTAATTCAAGAGGAAGTTCTTCATAGTAAATTTCCTCTCATTATCCAACTGCTAGCATAGGCCGCCACTGATAAGCAAAGAGGCCTTGTGCAATATCAGTGTTTTCACCATCTTATCTGCAAACATATAATCTTTATCTTTTTGATGAAGTGCTAGAATTACAAAGACTTGAGTAACCTGATAAATGTGCCAGTTTTTTCATGGGTGTTTAGCTTCCCTTCAACTTTGGAAAAGAGGTCTGACACATTTTCTCCATTTTAGTAATGGAGAAAGATATAAAAATATATATGAAGACATGTATGTGTAGCTTCTGAAATGTCCTGAGCTGAAATTGCAGTTTAGGAAAATAAAATTAAACATCATGAAAGTACATTCACTTGTAAAAATGATTCACATGTTTGGCTAGTGCTAAAATAACAAGGAATTAATAAGGGCAGATTGAATGCTGGAATTACTGATAGTACTATACTAATCTTTTCAGCCTGATAATCTCTTCCAGATAATAGTCATTTTGTCCACAATTACAGTTGTTCATAATATAGGTTTTTGATTTGATGGTCTGCAGGGTGCTACCAAATCCTACGCAAATGTGTTCCTTAATCCAGACCCAACTATTGTTGAGCAGACATTAATTTTATTCCTTTTTTTTTTTTAGCTGCTATGATATTTTATTTTCAAAATAATACTGCAACTGAGTTGGAGCTATTGTAATTAAAATTGTATCTGGACTTTTTCTTAACATGTTTCCTGTTTTTCTAATTATAGGTTTCATCTACACTGGAGAAGTTGTACATCGAATGCTGACAGCCACACAGTACATAGCACCTTTAATGGCAAATTTTGATCCCAGTGTCTCCAGAAATTCAACAGTCAGATATTTTGATAATGGTATATATTGATTAGCCTATTTTTTTTACTGAATGCATACTTTTATTTATTTATTTTTTTGGCTCTTCTTTTTTAAATTAAATCTTTATTGTTGAAAGTATTACATATGTTCCCTTTCTCTCCTCCCCCAAATTGGTCCCTTCTGGCCTGCCCCCCACCCCCACCCCAAGCCTTCATCATGAATGCATACTTTTAAATGGTGATCATCAACTTTATATTAATGTTTATGTAACCTGGAGTATTTTGCTTAGTTTTTGATAGATTGATTTATAAACTGCTCTGTGTAAATACCCTAAGATGACAAAGTTATACCATGACATTTAATATGCAGAGTAAATATATAGTTAAATTCCACTCATTTTATTCATTCATTTGATTGTTCAACAAATGTTTAGTAAGACATATTAGACACTATAATAAATGAGTTGTTAAATCAAGCAAGTACATTTGATGCTATTTTCAGTAAGCCCCTGCTATTAGAAAAACTAAATAAGGATAATTTGTTCTGATCCTCAAGTAGAGGCAAGTGTCATAATACATTGATATTAAATTTTCAAAACTTAAGAACTTTATATACCATAAGATGAACACACCTTTAAAAAATATATAGGGTAGTGGGTAGTTAAAATACATGTAAGAAAATCTAGTTTTCCTGCCCAGGCCAATGTGGCTCCATTGGTTGAGCATTGTCCCATGCCAGTTCATTCCCAGTCGGGGCACATGCCCAGGTAGTAGGAGGCATGCAAGAAGCAGCAGATTAATGTTTCTCTCTCACACTGACATTTCTTTCTCTCTCCCTCTCTCTTCCTCCTGTCTTGCTAATGATCAGAAGCTTGATACATTTAAAAGCTCTACATTTTTATATCTTCCACTACATTTTGTTTTGGATATGACAATTTACACATTTTTATATTGTATATCCATTAACAAGTTAATTTAGTTATGGTTATTTTTAATACTTTTGCCTTTTAACCTTTACACTAGAGTTATATGTGCTTTACCTGCCATCATCACAATATTGGAGTATTCTGAATTTAACTACATATTTACCATTACCATTGAGTTTTATGGTTTCATATAATTCTTTTTACTAATTAGCATGATTTTATTTCAACTCAAAGAACTCCCTTTAACGTTTCCTATGAGTCTGGTCTAGTGGTGATCAACTCCTTCAGCTTTTCTTTGTCTAGCAAACTCTTTATCTCTCCTTTAATTCCGAAGGTCAACTTTGCCTGATAGAATGCCCTTGGTTGGCCCTTTGACTATCTCATCCCACTCCCTCTGGCCTGCAAGGTGTCTACTGAAAAATCCAATGATAGCCTCATGTAGATTCCCTTCTAAGAAACAGATTGCTTTCCTTTGCTGCTTTTAAGTTTCTTTCTTTGTCTTTAAACTCTGATAATTTAATTATAATGTTTCCATGCGAGTCTCTTTTGATTCATCTTGTTTGGTATTTGGGGGCCCCCTAGATCTGGATGTCTGTTTTTGTTCCCAGGAAGGGAAATTTTTCAGCCACTATTTCTTTGAATAAGATTTCTGCCCCTTTCTCTCTCCTTTATCCTTCTGAGATCCCTAGAATGTAAATATTGGTCCACTTGATAATGTCCTATATGTCCCTTAGCCTATCATCACTCCTTTCATTCGTTTTCCTTTTTGCTCCTCTGATTGGATGAATTCCACTGCCCTGTCTTCAAGAGCATCAGTCCTGTCTTCTACTTAATGTCGCCTACTGCTGAACCCCTCTATTAAAATTTTCAGATCAGTTATTATATACTTCAGATACATGATTTCTCTTTAATAGTTTTTAATACTTTTTCTGTCATTGGCTGAAATTCTCACTGTGCTCATGCATTGCTCTTCTGACCTCAGTGTTCATCTTTATGATTTATTTTGAACTCATTTGGGTAAATCATTTACCTCCATTTCATTAACATCTGTCTCTGGGGATCTTGTTCTTTTATTTGAAACATATTTCCTTGTTTATTCATATTTCTTGGCTCTGTGTTGGTTTCTGCACATTAGATAAAATAGCCACTTCTTCCATTCTTGTCAGAGGGGTCTTGTGTAGGAGATGACCCTCATCAATCAGGCAGCCTGAAGCTCCTGGTTGCCTCTCAAACCCTTGTGGTTGTCTAAGACATCATCTTTGTTCTCAGTAGCTGAGAGTGTTCTAAGACCCATCAGTGTCCTAAAGGGGAGATCAGTCAGCACCTAGATGCAAGCTGATTTGTTGCTACTCTCAGGCAGCAGCTGGGGAAGTCTGCAGTCAAACCCCTTCCAGGGAGAAACTGGGGGACAGGCATTTTTGCCTGCCCTCTCTGCACTGTGTCTGGAAGTTTAATCCTGGGAGTGCTTCTGCACCCATTTTGAAACTTCTTTGTTTGCTCTAATCTCTGACTTGTAGATGCAAGCCCTGTTGGCTATCAGAGCAAGGCGGTTTATTTTAGGTGCCAAACCTCGATGGCAGCCATAAAATTTGGGGCGCTCTACATAGACAGAGCTCCTTTGAGATGAATACTGGCAACTTGGTTTTACTGTTGGAGTAAGCTGCAGGGAGAAGGTGGAGCATTAGATGAATGCTACTTAGATGCTGGACCCTCATGCAGCAGCTTATAAAATATATCGTCACATCCCTTAAATAAAAATACTGGGGGATGGGCATTTTTGCCTGCTCCCCCTCTGCTGAATCCTCAGGATGGAGGGGATAGCCATGGCAAGTGCACAAATAGAAGCCTGCCTGCTACAAGCCTGTGGAACTCAGGAATGCGCATCCCATTGTCTATCACAGCTGTCAATCTGGGGGCCTGTCCCGCAGGTGATTCCACAAAACTGGGTGCCAGACTTGTGTGTAAGCTCCTTCCAGGGAGGTGCTGGTGACCTTGTTTTGTGGTTGTATGAGCCAAAGGGGGAAGGCAGGGGAACTGCCTCCTGGCTCTCTTGGGCTCTAGAGAGGATCATAGTCAACACCTAGATATGTGCAGTTTCTTTTTTTAATTTTTTAAATAATTTTTTTCTTTATTGATTAAGGTATTACATATGTGTCCTTATCCCCCCAAATTCTCCCCCCCCCCCACTCATGCCCTCACCTCCCTGGTGTCTGTGTTCATTGGTTAGGCTTATATGCATGCATACAAGTCCTTTGCTTGCTCTCTCCCCCTGACCCCCACCCTCCCCTCCCTTCCCTCTGAGGTTTGATGGTCTGATCGATGTGCACTTTCAATGTAGAAATTTTTTCAGTCACCCGATTCATAGCAGTCACTCAGCTAGTTTCTGGATTTCTCTCAGAGGAAACTGCTTTGTGTGTAGCTATATAAGGTCAACGTAAGAAACATTCAAACCTGTGAAGAATTTTTTTGAGTTTATTTTAGCCAAATTGTCGACAAATGCCAGGAAGCAGAATCTCGACCGATTGAGATAATGCTCTGGAGAAAGGCAGTTTTCACCTTGTTTTATACATTACAATCAAAAGAGGTGACATAACCTGGGTGATGTGGCTCAGTGGTTGAGCGTTGACCCATGAACCAGGAGGTCACAGTTCGATTCCCAGTCAGGGCGCATGCCCAATTTGGGCTCAATCCCCAGTGGCAGGTGTGCAGGAGGCAGCCAAATGATGTTTCTCTCTTATTGATATTTCTATCTCTCAATCCTTCTCCCTTCTTCTCTCTAAAATCAATGAAATATATTTTTTTTAAAAAAAGAGGAGATGTAAGTGAGTTACATGAAATCCATTAGTGATAGATTAGGGAGTTAGGAGAAAGCAAAGTGGGGAAATTCTGGGATTGATAAAAAGTAAAATGATAGACACATACTTCTTTTACATAGCTGGGTGCAGGACAGTTAACAGTTAACAATTAACTCAATAATAATGAGGGGATTTGTGCTCTCCGCAGAGCAGTGCCTGTGCTTTGAGGGGAAAAAGGAAAATGACTTTGACATTCCAACAATATATGTTATCATAGATGCAAAAAGACAATGGACAGGCTCAGTTAAGGTAAAGATTGACCTTTGTCAGGGAAGATACTGGCCTAGGACATGATACCCACCATAAACTACTTTTAGTTTTAATTTTTTTCATTTCAGACCATCCTTTGTGGTTACTTTAGGTCTCTGAATTTGCCAGGCTGCCACCCAGACCTGGGCAGTCAGCTTAGCATGTGGCCCCTTTTCATCCACAACAGTTAGTGTGTCGATTGGAGGAAGGAAATTCAGGAGCCTCCTATGTTGCCATCTTGGTCAAAAGCTCTCAGGCTAAGTTATACTCAAAAGCAAGTAAAGACAGTGTTCTGTTCTGCCTGGGTCATCTGGTGCAGCTCTTAGCGAGGGAACAGTCAGAGGGAAGGAATGCAGGGGTAAGGCATGTGGGAAGGGGTGTGGAGCGTCCATGCCCTCTCTGCGCATGACTCTCCCCACACCTCCACATCCTCACCAACCCAGAAGCTCTCTGTCATACAGTCTTGACTTTTTCTTTTTTAATCAGATATTTATGGACCTGGAAGGCTGGTTTTGCTCTTTTAGTTCTGTGAGTTTCATTTTCTGTAAAACATTTTTTGACAAAATGATTTTTTAACCAAACAGAAAATCCAATACTTAGAGCTAAGCAAAAATATTAGCTGCTCATTTGTTTTCTTAAAAAAAAATATGAAAAAAAACAATGTCCGTTAAAACAAATATATGAATTCTCATTGGTGCCTTTTAAACCGTGTTTCAATTTATATCCCATGTTAATTGTTTTATCGTAAACACTGGTAGATTAACTCATTAGAACATGATATATAGCACTAAAGATTTTTCCCAGTGTACTTCATGGAGGCTTCAGAAATCTGAGCCTGGGGACCTTCAAGCTACCTTGCAGCCTTCTCAAGGCAATACAACAAAGACAGAACTGCAGGCATTATGAATCAAAGAAGAATATTTCCATTCAGGTTAAAGGAATTTCTTCAGCATGGAAAGGTATAATTCTAAGTCTGGAAGAGCCATTTTTGGGTCTTTTATAATAAGCAATTCTAGCTTTCCTGAATGTGTTCCTTTCTCTCTCAGCATTTTTCAATGTATTTGAAATTCATTCAAATCACTTGGGCTGCATTTTGAAAGTGGCTCATGGAAATTTAAGCAGACAATACCCATTGACACTAATGAACTTCCTAGGGCAAAATCCCCTCATACTGGGCTCAATATTAACCTCCGTATGAGGTTAGATTTTACCAAATATTTAGAGACTACCCAATTCTTTAGCAATATTTCAAATGCTAATTTTTTAAAACTGGAAAACATTTCTTTTATCCATTCTCTCTGAAGTGTTAACATTTTACTTAAAGGGATATAATGAATCCTTTAAAAATAATGAAAATAAATCAGTATACCTTAGCAAATTGCATCCATGATGAAGTTTTAGTCTTCTTAACAGGTGGTGGCCAAAATCCAAACTGTAGAATAATACTCAGAAATTTTGAATTCAATTTAGATATCATCAGTGTCTTCATCGTCATCTCTAATATCATCAAACTGGTTTTAATCATCATCTTCAGGACCAAATGTATCTATGTCATGATTTTAGCATGTTCTGAAAGCTCACCATATGCCAAATGCTATTTCAATTACAGAATTCCATTAACCATATAAAACTTAAGTAGCACAACTACTAGATTTGAAGGCTAGATCCATATTTTTTGTGAAGGCTCCACCCAGAATCGATTGATATGCTTTTCTCGTTGTGTTTCTTCTGCTCCGATGGGGTTTCCAGGCACAGCACTTGTTGTCCAGTGGGACCACGTACATCTCCAGGATAATTACAACCTGGGAAGCTTCACATTCCAGGCAACCCTCCTCATAGATGGACGCATCATCTTTGGATACAAAGAAGTAAGTAATGTATTGAAAATTTATTTCACCCTTGACTTTGACCTCTATCTATTCTTTCCTTCAAATGTCAAGAAAGAGACACTTTATAGTAATGAAACTCAAGTAATTTTCTTACCTCTTGGTTTCTTTACCTTGATTTAAAAAGTTTTTAATCTACTGGGTAGTACTGATTGTTAATTCTTTGTTGTTTTTTTAAAATATTCTTATATCACTGGCATTATAATCCATTAATTTTACAAATTTACTGAATAATTATATTCTAGTAATATTATAATAAAATAACTCTAAAACAAATATTTTCAATTTAGAATGCAATTGTTTATATGTGTGTGTGTGTGTGTGTGTGTGTGTGTGTGTGTGTGTGTTTATTTTTGCCTTGTAAATTTCTGTGACATTGTTTGGTTCTACCTCCAAAAGTAATAGTAAACGTGAAAACTTGTATGACTCAATGACCCAATACTGAAAGTATTCCAGGATAGCCTTTCATCAATGGTCATTGCAAGCAGATAGGAAAGATTAATTAGAGGTCTAAGTGAAGGAAAAACAGGGTATTTAAACTTATGACTTGTTTCATTTTACCAAGTTGACAAAGTAAACAATGGAAACTTACTAAATTGTAGCTTAAATTTAAGGAATGTCTAAATTAGAATAATAGCATGTTTGGTTTAAAACTCTATTGACAATGTAATTAAGGTGTATTAGACAACCTAAACTTTGGGGAAAGAAAACAGTCTATAAGCATAAAGTTCCAGGAACACCAGATGGGTGTTTTAGGCAGTCATTAGGCAGGAGAGACTTTCTGACAATGTGGATTGACAGTGGGCATTCTGGACACATGAACTGATGGGTATTTATAATGGTGCAGGCTCAATATCTTATTTTAGTTGAAGAGTTACTTTCCCTTAGGAAAGGAATCCCTGCTATTAAGAGGATTTTGACAATTTAAAAAGGATTCAGTTTGATCAGTCTTCTGAAATTTTTCTTTTCTATAAAGTGAAGGGTAGTTATATTTCAATTAAATATAAGCCAACTTTTGGAAATTTCATAACCAGGCTAGATATTTCTACTCCTTTGAAGAATTCTTGCATGTGGAATTAATCATTTGCTTGGGGCAATAATAACAATAGATTATAGTATAGGATCTGTTCTGCTCAGTGCTTCTTTATCCAGAGCTATGTTTTGATATCCTAGCCCACCATATTCTTATCCCACTCCCTGGAAGCTGAGAAAATATCACTCAAAGGGACTTATTCAAGGTTTTTTTACAATCTAGAATACTGCTGGGACTGCAGAGCGGTGTAATGGAATGTGAGTTCTCAACAGTTTAGCCAAGAGTGGTAAAGTTTCTGGAAAGATGAAGGGTCAGTAAGTCTAGAGTCTTAAACCTCAATAGCTGTAGCCTTTGGCAAAACAAAAGTCTGTGTTCTTAGTGTGGTCTCTCTCTCTAGTCTTTATTATCAAAACTGCATCTCCGTTTACACTGTTCTCAATGGGTGTCTTGCATTGAAGAATAACGGTTTATTTTTCCTTTTCTCTCTTTACAGTGGATTTAGTATTTTTAAATTTTTTTCTTTATTTTAATCAAAGAAAAAATTATTATGGTTTCTCTGTTTTGGAATGGGGAATATTAGACTGGTAGGCAATTATAACACTGTCTCGCTGAACATCAGAGTTCTAAACTCAGAGTTCTAAAGAAGTCATTACATTATTATTTGTCTTGCTGTCCTTTCTCTCCTGGTTAGAAAGCAGTTTCTTACTTCCTATTCTACCTTTTATTTCCTGATAATTGTCATGAATTTTATTTTGTAGAGGCAAGTTACTCTTTGTAAAATTTGCCACAATGAATGTACCTATGCATTTGGGATGAGATCCAGGTGCTCCTGCAACTTCTAGAAAATAATATTTATAATCATGTTAGCATAAACTAGTTGCTTACATAATGTACTTGACAGAATGCTTTAACATACATTATAGTTTTCAGTTCTTCAACAATATTCTATATTCTTTTTTTTAAATTAAATCTTTATTGTTCAGGTTATTACAGTTGTTCCTCCTTCCCTCCCCCCCCCCATAGCTCCCCTCCACCCGGTTCCCACCCCACCCTCTGCCCTTACCCCCCTCCCCCGACTGTCCTCATCCATAGGTGTATGATTTTTGTCCAGTCTCTTTCCGCACCCCCTACACCCCTTTCCCCCCCTGAGAATAGTCAGTCCACTCCCTTTCTATGCCCCTGATTCTATTATATTCACCAGTTTATTCTGTTCATCAGATTATTTATTCACTTGATTTTTAGATTCACTTGTTGATAGATATTTATTTGTTGTTCATAATTTGTATCTTTACCTTTTTCTTCTTCTTCCTCTTCTTAAAGGATACCTTTCAGCATTTCATATAATACTGGTTTGGTGGTGATGAACTCTTTAGCTTTTTCTTATCTCTGAAGCTCTTTATCTGACCTTCAATTCTGAATGATAGCTTTGCTGGATAAAGTAATCTTGGTTATAGGTTCTTGGTATTCATCACTTTGAATATTTCTTGCCACTCCCTTCTGGCCTGCATAGTTTTTACTGAGAAATCAGCTGACAGTTGTATGGGTACTCCCTTGTAGGTAACTGACTTTTTTCTCTTGCTGCTTTTAAGATTCTCTCTTTGTCTTTTGCTCTTGGCATTTTAATTATGATGTGTCTTGGTGTGGTCCTCTTTGGATTCCTTTTGTTTGGGGTTCTCTGCACTTTCTGGACTTGTAAGTCTATTTCTTTCACCAGGTAGGGGAAGTTTTCTGTCATTATTTGTTCAAGTAGGTTTTCAATATCTTGCTCTCTCTCTTCTTCTGGCACCCCCATAATTTGGATGTTGGTACGCTTGAAGTTGTCCCAGATGCTCCTTATACTATTGTCATATTTTTGGATTCTTTTTTCTTTTTGTTTTTCTGGTTGGGTGTTTTTTGCTTCTTCATATATCAGATCTTTGACTTTATTCTTGCGATCCTCTAGTCTGCTGTTGGAACTCTGTATAATATTCTTTATTTCAGTCAGTGTATGCTTAATTTCTAGTTGGTCCTTTTTCATAATCTCAAGGCTCTCACTAAATTTCTTGAAGGGCTCACTAAATTTATCGGTGGTTTCTAGAAAATTCTTGAAAAACCTTAAAAGTGTGGTTTTGAACTCTATATCCAGTAGTTTGCTTTCTTCCATTTCTGTCATTTGTGACCTGTTTCTTTGTCTCCACATTTTTTATGCTTCCCTGTGTTGATAGAGTGGCTTTGTGTGCTAGGTGTCCTGTAGGGCCCAGTGGCTCAGCCTCCCTAATTACCAAGGTGGACACTCTTGGTGCAACCCTTTGTGGGCCTTGTGCACAGTCTTGTTGTAGTTAAGCCTTGATTGTTGTAGGTATCACTGGGAGGAATTGACCTCCAGACCAATTGGCTGTGAGAATCAGCTGTGTCTGCAGTGGGATATCTTCTGTGCTGGAGACACCCTTCTGGGGCAAGACTTGCTTCAGTGGGACTTTGGCGCTCACTGAGTCTACCCCCTGAGTGTGTCCTTTATGGATCTGAGGAGTTGTAATCTGGATGGTCCCACTCTGACCATTGGGTACACTGGCTCTTGGATCTCTAAAGAGGTGCTAATTTAGCCTCTTCCTGAGGCTACCCAGCAGGAGCTATGGAGAGATTCCTCTTCTTTGTTTGGGGTTTGGAGGTGCCCAGATGAGGAATGCAAGCTGCTTTGGGGCCTTGGGCCTTCTTTTGGAAGTCCTGGGTCTCTCTGACCCAGCTGTAGATTGTTAGGTAATTTTCAGATTGCAAAGTTCCAGGCCTTTCATATGCAAAAGCCTCTGTGCACAGCTTGGGTGGGGCGGGGTCTCAGGGAATCAACAGGGTGGAGCAAGCAGCTATGGCTGCTTCTCAGTCCTACCCTAAGAGGCCCTGGGTCTCAGTGTCCTGTGGTAATCACTACAAGCACCTCTGAGAGAAAGCCGCCCTCATGTTCTGACCGATTCCATACAGTCCAGTTTCTCCCTGTATGAGTCTGGGTCCCCAGAGACTCGCCTGGAACTGGAGTTCAGAGCAGTCAGGAGCTTGAGACCCCCTCCTGATTGAAGAAGACAACCGTGTCCTCAGTTGCCAACCCTTTCCACGTGTGCCTCCGTACCTCTGCACTTTACTTCCACACCTCCTCTGAGTCTAAGTGTGCTTTTCTCTTTCCTTCTAGTTGTAGAATTTCCACTCAGCCAGCCTTACTGTGGTTCCGGATGATATCCGTTTTGTCTCTTAGTTGTATTTTTGAAGTGGTTGTGGGAGGCAGCAATTTCCGGTGTTTACCTATGCCGCCATCTTGGTTTTCCTCAAGATCCTATATTCTTAATATTCTTAGTCCTCACAAAGGTGCTGACACATGGAAGGTGTTTAATAAATGTGCCTGACTTAATTATGGAATCAGATCATACACAATTAGCTATATTTTACAGCTAAACAGACTGAGTCAGAAAGGTTGAATGACATGCTTGAAGTTGCAGAGTTAATTGAGGGCAAATTCAAGGCTAAAAACCTTAATTTCGGTGACTCCAAGTGACCTCAACATTTTCCCCCAAGGTGGTTATGTGTAATGATTCACAAATGTATTTCTCATTTGTTTTTGTTTTTTTTTAATAAATAGTTGTTAATTCTTAGTGTTTAATAATCCTTTTATCTGATTCCAATATATTATGCAATTTTAATCCCACAGAATCAGGAGAGTATTTCTATTTAAGTTACAAAGCTAACAAAATCATGAGAATATATAAATATAAGGAGTATAATTTTGTGTTCCTATCCAAGTTAAACTTACAGAACCAAAATTATAGATAGGAAGTAAGTACAATTTTTTCTGCAATACGTTGCTTCTAGCTGGTAATGCCAGCTTTGTTTTATTTTAGCATATTTTATGTAAGAATAAAATAATTTGATTTATGCAAAAACTACCAATATTAATAACTTGGTTAAACTGTAGAGTAAAATTATG